AGCTTGATGTCAAGCTCATATCACGTGTTCAGTCATTGGTATTTGAACATGCTTTTTATAAATTATCAACAATTTTAGATTCCGCGAAAGTCGCGACAAATAAGGTGTCAAGCAATTAACCAGAACCTAATGTAAAATGAAGTGATTTTATGCCATACTGACTGAATCCGCTTCCTTCTCATTGTCTTCAATATGATATGAAATGAAACTTAGATCACTTTGACACCCATCAGCAAAGCGCGATCATGATGTTAAAGTAAACAGTTTAATGGACAGTTCAATGAACAGAAACATGATAGATTCATTGAACGTTTCGATCTCACCACATTTCCATTGACAGTTCCACGAACATACTTTTGAATTTACAGAAATAGTTGACCGCAAAATGAAAAAGTTGCTTTACGAGTTGCAGTTTGAATCCAATATCTTTTGCGCTTCAAAAAATTCCTGAAGTGTTAGGCGGCTGATCATAACCAAAGGAAATAGAAAATAAGTTTATGCCATTTGGCCACAATGTTTCTTGTTCTTATTGTTTTTGACGTATAGATAGGACTGTGTATTTTAAACAAAATATATCCGAAGTCAGCCCACAATCAATATCAATATATCTGCAGCAATCGTAAGATTGATCAGTGCTACCTGAGAATCAATAAAAATGATCTCATGAAATTATATTTGTGGAGTCAATAATGAAAATATTCTGTACACCACTCATGCATGAAAGCACGAATGATTAGAATAATAATTTTGTGATTGATATTTTATTCTGACTCATGTTTGCATACAAATATAAGGGGGTTGGTAAATTATTCAGGAAAACAAAAGAAATAATAACGGGGCAACTTAACTTTGATCTCTGTTTATTTGATTAGATGAATGTTGTTCTGTAATTTTGTTTTGGCGACTGTAAAAATTTACTACAACGCGGCCGACATTATATCAAATGCATACAATAGAATCCAACTCACGTGAGATGAATAAAATCAATAGTATATTATCATACTATTTTTTTTCGGTTACTTTTGAAACCGTCAATCCTCTCCATATTTTCCTAATAGACGAATGTGAGTCTAAAAGCTCTCGAGTTCGTTACACTCGAGTAAGAAGAGATTCTGGCTGTTAGGAAAAATCCAGCCTCTCTAATTGGGTTTTCAAATGCGTTTTCTCGAATAAATGCTTCCGTTTTGCGTTCGACTCGCGTAAGAGCTAGACCCAATTCATTCTCCAAAACTCAGGGAAGCGAGAAAACTCAAGATGCTTCCAACATAGTTCTTGGTCCTCAAAAACGTACATGGAACACGGGTTGTCACGTCTCTCGAAAGCCTCAGGGCCGTGAAGTGTCAGATAAAACAATTTTACTCGTTGGCCTTAATACAATTCAGAAAACCGGTCTTACGACAAACAGCATTGTAAAGCAACTAATGAGTACAAAAGAGAGTATCGATCCAATGATATTCGTTCCTCAGCTCGGGGTCGTGGTTCGGGGAGACATGCTGACGGCGTACCGTTCATCAAAAACCACAATAGAGAGGAACGTCATAGTCATGACCGTCGAGTTTCTTGTTCATACAGTGACGATGAACCTGAGTGATTTGCAGAAGGTCCTTCTACAGTTAATGAAACAATTGAACTCGGAGGGATTTTACAGGAAACAGTGGAATGCGATTTACCAAGAAAGTGCTTAGAAATGGAAAACGATTTTTTCGAAAGTTAATGATAGTTTAGTTCCAAGTACAAACAATGGTCTTGAAAATGTCTTTAATAATCAGACTTTGGAAGTTGGGAGTCATGCATTCCTTGAATAGTCAAACAAACCCACAACCAACATAGTCGATCAATTGATATCCGATAATCAAGGAAGTCGTTTTAAACATCTGTTTCAAAAGAATGAGATTTCAGATAAAAACAGGCTTCCAAACAATACTTACTGCTTCTTTAGATAATATTAACGAATAGCTACTTAGATTGCTAAAAACTTTTTGTGGCAGTCCTTCTAGGTCCTTCAAAGACAGGGTCAAGATAGTGATAATTGTTTGTAACACGATTTTGGCGTTTATTCATCAGATACTATTTCAGGATATTATCTATGCAAAGGTTGGCTTAACATTTCCAAGTACTGCTCAAAATTTCCTTACACAAAATAAACAAAATGTCTCAATAAATGGACACCTGTCTAAGAGGCTTTCATAACTTTTCACAAGAACGAAGTTTTTCGCAACCGTATTCACTATCGCAATCGCTTTTGTTATCGACCAAATAATTAGAGCACAATTCATTATGTCAGTATTAGTATAGATTTATTTTCAAGAATACAAACAATAATCTGTAAAATTTACACAAATTCTTTAAATCTCTTTAACATAAAATCGTTATGAAGCACAATAAAGTGCATTTATTTACTGAAGTCAATATATACTGCATTAGCGAAGTCGTGATTTATTCTTCTTCAAAACAAATGCATATCAACGGACCGTAATGTGATGTTTATCGCAAATCCGATCGAAAATTGTAATGACTGATTTTTCAGTACTTCATCAGAAAAGGCTTCACGAAATTAAATTTCTTCGATAATGAGTGATCAACAGATTGATACGGAACAAACAACAAAAGTTTGTTTCTCACAAGATGTGGTTTGATTTTTTTTGCAAGAATCGCTGCAAGCGTCTACGTTATCCGAACTTTTAAAAAGGTTGTAAGCAGAATAAAATGTTGCTGTTTTATTAGTTATTATGGAGTTCTGCTTTAAGCAGGTTGAATGTGTTGAAACAAGATATAAAATTGAAATCCTGAGTAAACTTCTGAGTCTCTATCGTTTCCGAGTAACCTGAGTGTAAATCTTACCCGCTAACTGAATACGAGATAAAAGCTTGAACACCTGACTGAAATGTAAAGTGAGGTCAACAGAATACTCTGAAAATCCTGATAATTATCTTTGACCTCGATTTTCGTAAATCTTTAAAAATTGTGCTCTAGTTATTAACGGTGTGGCTAAATATTCATACAGGAACGTTGTATAGTTTTGTGGTTATATTGATGGGTGTTTTGTTTTTGTTAATTATCTATAGCAAGTTAGGAGAGGGATTCTGGGTCTCTTCAACAAAAACAACTTCCAGTTATCAGCTTATCATCAATGGACCACGAAGTATTTTCAACGGTGAAAAATATTTCGGAAGGAGCCTTGTTACTCATAAATTTCTCTTACGCCATGACGCAGAAATACTGATGACACGATAAGGATGTAAGATAAGTGAACTGTGTAACTAACGGTTTACTAGTTTGGTGGTAAGAGGAAGTCGTTGGAAATAACTTTATAGGTCAATCTGAACTCGTACACTTTCTGTTATTTACACATTGATATGATGAATTCATCAATAGTCGACCACCTTAAGGTACCTGGAAGCAATCGAATATCGATCGTTACAGAAAGGTAATGATTAGCAGTGCAAATCCACGATTATTGGAAAATCAAATGGGAGAATTTGCATGTCTTGTTAATTGCTCATAAGGGTTTGTTGATACCGGTGAGTCAGAAGACTGTAATCCTGAAGGAACAGTGTTCTAATGATGTCGGATCTTCAACAATTAAATATACATGAATTGCTTGTGTCTGATGACTTCAACATTTATTCCCTTCTTCATGAGTTGTTTTTCAAAAATTGATTCCAAAAGTCCTACACAGGTAGCGTCCGTGAGGTCGACTAATCTGTCCATTCCACTTATTTAAGCCGCTGACCAATTTTTGTTAACCGTTCAACTTAAGAGCGATTTAACTTTGGCTATGCATGAGTGTTTATTCCGGATAAAGCAGCAGAAACTATACACGATGCTCTTGGTAATCACGACAAAAATAATTCACACGTCTTTTCATAAACGGCTAAAAGCAGTCGGCCTCAGGCAGAATGCTCAGTTAAGTGGGAACAACTTCATCACAGCTAAAAACTTACAAGTGGAGCATGAAAGATGACTGTTGGTACGAGGATTCCATCGACATATTTATAGGACACTTGAAATAGGGGATACAGACTTGGTCAGATGTCACATTGCGGATAAAACAGATATGATCCAAGAAACTGTGGTTTTGCCGATTTTACAAGATCTTATTTGCCAAGTTAATTAAGAAATCGAAATGCTTAAAATAGAGATTAGGAATTCAATCTACAAACTGTAAGTGCTGAAGCCAAATAAGAGACTGAAAAGACCACACTCATGGAGACGAGCAGCATCTACGATCTGTTGGTGTGAGCAGACTGGATTATACCTTTTCTCGGCAAGTATGGTTTTACTATATAACACAACTTCATCTGATTCTTCGTTCTCCCTCTACAATTGCAACATTCATTTTCCTTCTCTGGGAACCAGTATGTATCACAACTGTTGAAATATCACACACATCACAACACTCCACTATCATGAAGCAAGTTTGAAATTACCAATTATAGAAACGATGATCACATTAGGATTCTGATTAAGCCTCCTAACTACAAATACTTAACAGTAAAGTGGCCTTCTGTAAATTCAATTCAATTCGAATCGAACGTCATACGAACAATAATACATACAACAAACATGCGCTTGCTTCGTGACTGATCCAACAGAACTATCCAAGCAATCATCGCTTTCGTTATTTGAGCATTGGAAAACTTTCAATTACGTTTATACACTCGTGAAATATTTATTTTGATGGTTAAAAAATGTCGCTTATTGGTCAAACACAGTATTCATATACCCAGATTGATTAGTTTTGGATCATATTCTGAAACAAATTGAAGTAATGAAAAATATTGAGATAAGGTCAATTTAGAGCGAACCGATATGTCGATGGAAACGATACTATACCATCTTCCAAAGATTGATATGATGTCTACTTCTCATGAATTATGAGTTACCAAATAACACTCAAAATCGCTGTTACACTTGTGGAACATGTACATCAACTATTTTTGAAGCGGAACTCTCCCGATAATGTAACATGACATTGAACAATGTATTGTTTATCAAACTGATCATGCGTGTAAAAAGTGGCATTCAATATGTATTTATTCTTCCTAGCATTTCAACGTAATGGTATTCGTACAGGAACTTGTTAAAAAGCTGTTACACAATCATCATCTGATTACAAACGTCATTGATAGTAAGGATTACAAAGAATCATTGATATACTGATTATTAGTCGACATGTATAATAACATAAAATTACTTTTGTTTTTTAGATCGAAAAAAATGGTAAATCAATAAGGAAATTATCTTGTTCATCATGTAATGTTGATTACTGTCGGGATGAGATTCCATGTGTGTACGATCATTTTACAATCAAATTTTCAATCAGAAATACTAATAAGTACAATATTAGAAGTTAAAAATAATATAAAACAGCAGTAAATAACTAATCCATCGTCATATACTATGCATTTTTATCAGGAAACCAGTTGATTGTACAGTTCCTGACACATTCATAATAACAGTTCCCTGAACATTCAGATGTCTTGTTCTGAAAACATATTGTTGAACCTAGCATTATTGACTGATAGAATATCAAATAAAACGTAGTGTACAGAAATATTGATGCCAATGTATAAATTGGATAGAAGAGAAGATGTCTTGATTTTCCAACTGTCAAGTGACTTAAAAATATTGTTATCTGTGAAATAAATGAAACACACATATTAGTGTGAACAGAAAAGGTAACTATGTATAAGTAAACATGCGTATCAAGACTTATTTTCAAAAGCTGACGTTCGGTGAATTAAATAAAGTGAATAGTGAGATTCTTGTGAAAAAGAAATAGTTCCCTGTGTCATATTCAAACTGTTATCTTGTTTTTCGCCTATAGGGAAGGCTGGAATAAACAAAGGTAAATCAAATATTTGAGCTAAATACTGTGAATTCAAATCACATTGTTCGGCTCTCGTCTGACATTTAAAACCTGCAACATTTGAAAAGTGTTTTAAAGATCTGAGTGTATTTACTTATAAAAAAAATTGTCTAAAATGCGGTTGCGGCAATCATGCATGAGTATAGCATGGACAGAGTATGAATGATTTAGAGGGTCTGAGTGGACTATTGCAGATACGCAACTTAAGAAGTAGAATATCCTACAACAGTGATGATAACAGGTGTCTTCGCTGATAAGGTTGAAGTGCTTCTTAGTCTATTCAACAAGATTTATAGAACTATGTGTATCAAATAAAATGAGGATAAATTCAACTCACAATATATAATAATATCTCTGCAACAGTATCAAGACCGATCAAAGCATTCTGAAAATCAGTAGAAACGAATAAGTGAACCTATATTAGTGAAATCAAATGTGCACAGTTTTTTCATGCGAATCAAACGTGACAGTTTAGAATGAAAGTAATAAGAAATTTTGATAAACCGTTTATTTTGTCTGATGTTCGTTATCAGTGTATGTGGTAAATGAGTTATTCGAGAAATTAGTAGAAACAGTAACAAGCTAACTAAACATGTTCTTCTTGTCTTCGAATTGCTGAATGCACCATGTGCTATTGACTGTAAACAACTTAAAATTTGAACTCATCTGTTATTCATGTCGTTGGTCGATGGTTGATCATGTCCATATGTTTGAGCTTCATATGTCCCCTCACAGCTCCTCTATCTATTTCTTTGTGATCTGTCTTGTATCATCAGGTGAATAGATTCAAACTGATACAGTAGAAATACTAAAGGTGATATGAAGTTATGCAATATTGATGATGATTAAGCACACTGTGATCTCAAAATGTGGTTATGAAAAAGCTTGTTTGATTGATACATTTGATGCTAATGCACTTGTCAAATATTGTTGGGCACACAGCACACGGCTGTTTTTATGTAATTTTGTTTTTTCAATCAAAAATTATTTTACTTAAGATATCACTAAGCCTGCCAACATAGATGATGGATCTTGTCAGCACATACCAACGTCAGTGGTCAGTTGAGAAAAAAATTATACTATAGACCCGAAATAACGTGAAATCGATCAACACGCAACTATTACAGAATGTCTGCATGTCGTCTGCGCAGAAATAGCTCGCTCACCTAAAAATTGTGACTGTCATAAATGAAGTAGCTTCAGAATTCCAAGGTTCGTGAATGTTGAATACTGAACACCAATACGAACCTTATGACTTAGATATCTCATTTCACAAATATGTGAGAAATGTATGCTATATAATTTATAATCGATATTTTGTATTAGGAGAATAATTTTATTCATGTCGATACCTTTACATCTACAGCGTTTAGAATGACCGAAAAAAGTCACAATTACAGCCCATATGACACACAATGATAACAAGATATCTCTTGCTTTATCCAATGAACCTGTCTTGATTGCTGCACCAATCAGCAATGCAGACGTGAAGATTACCAAACTCATCACGAAGATGACAAAGGAAGTGAGAGGACTTAACACTGTATTCGAAACGCCAAGTACAATAGCCATACATGTTGACTGAAATATGGAATGAATGCGAAAGTTTGAACTGGTCTTTTATCAAATAATTGGCTGTGTAAGAATATAAATGCTGATAACAGTTTGTAAATCATTCACAAGCAGATAAGTGACTATTTCGATCCCTAAGCGGACAACTCTCAATCTATTGAATGCGTTTTCTCTGAAAACACTGTCCATTTTGGCTCTTTATTTGAAAAACTGAGAAAATCATAATTTTTTCAAATACTACGTTCGATTACGTTTCCCTCTACGAACTGATATATTTCATATAGGCAATTTTGTCGCAATGTATTGAGACAGGTGAGAGTATTTCCAAATGCGAAGTCAATAAGAGCAAAGTTAAACGAAACGATAACGAGATAACAGTAATAATTATCAAATAATATTTTGGATTTTGCAGTTTTCAGTCCCGTTCAGGATGACCTTCAGACGATTTGCTGATGTACACACCATTCTTACTTCATTTGAAGGCATACTACAGCTTTTTTCGCTTTAGCAAAAATTAGAATTGTAAGGTATGGAAAGTTCATTGAGTCCAACAAAATAGTTTGTGAATCAATATGTTGATATTCAGATCTCAGACTTATATGAAGATAAATAATTGGAACAAAAAGGTTTTCAAAATTGCACCTGAATCTGTTTCAAGTTGTTAAAGCACATTCAGTCAACGCAATACATGGCGAATCATATTCTTCTTTATTAAACCAGATGTTGAGTGTTGCATATAGTCAGTAATAAACAAGATTGTTTCTCCATCTAAATAAACTCAAGTTAGAAATAATGATTCATATCTTCGTTCGTTTTCAGTCCACAAACGTAGCCTGAGATCGATCACTGATCCTAGCAGATTTTACTGTTGAACAAGCCTTGTCTGAAACTTTTGGTTTGCATATCTATCTAGGTCAAACATGTTTTTCAGTCATACAATAGGTCAAAAATTGGGCGTGACAAACATTTTCTGTGTCTGACGTAGAGAGTTATATAGGTTCTATCGTAAACCAACTGGCATGAAAAGTATCCAGATTGTCTGGATTACTCAAAACCTGCCGGTGATTCTTACGTATATGATCACGAAAGTAACGTTCAGAATATAATTTTCAGTGAATTTCTTCAAAACCGCAATCACTATTGCTATAGCTACCGCAAACAACCTACAAGACAAAATACAGATCAATGATTAGTGGTATATATACGGACAAACATATGTTTTTGATGAAATTTGATTAGGCTAACGGTGATAAAATTGGGAATGACATTGTGTTGATTCATAAGAGCATTAAATAACCGATGCTTAACAGACAAAGAAAATTGTTTTTTTGTCACTCTTGTCGGTCTCAAAAGTATCTGGAAACTTACATGATCATCATTTAGACAAACGAATAAACAATCTGGAAGTAATGCAGTGTATAATTAGCATATATTTGAATAGAAATTTTTATTTTGACTTATTGTAAGTTATATGAAAAGAAGCCTACTATATTTGAAATTTCAATTTTGTGAAATAGCAAAACACTGATGCATGTCATAAAATTGCACGACTGAAAATCTCAGCAAGCCTGTTCTGATTATGAAATCATGTCAATACAATGACATAATATTCAATACGTGGTTTTCTCGATATTTACTGACGTTTTAAGTGACAAACAAATAAATCGAATTAGGAAGGAAATTGAAATTCTAATTATACTAGTAATTTATATAACCATATGAATTACAGATTTCACAGTGGTTTGTGTAAGAAATATTTGTTTCATTCAACTATTACAAAGAACGTTACTTAACAAAACATTCCTTCTGCTCACATTCCAAAGAAGTATCAAAATAATATTATTTGAGTCTTGGGATGTCTAATTACAACTTGCAGCATGAAAATATTTATTGATGACGAACAATCTAATAATTAGTCTATTAAGCAACATTCGCAAATAACCAACCCTCTGTGTTCATCAAATCAGTGAATAATTAATCCATGTATGTTGTCATGACTATTCTGCATCACAGTAAACAACATATGTTATTATCACAGTCTACTGGTTATTAGGTTGAAATTATTATTCGAATCATTTAATTAGTAGATTGGAGGTTATGCGGAAAGACTGTATAAAACTTACACGAATAAACCCGGAATCAATAATTGTTCAGCGATATGTAAAGTTTGTCCCACAATGCTGGAAGAATACAATGATTAAATAATGAATAATTTACGTTTGCGAAAAAATGATTACAATGATCGATGTTATGGCTATTTGTAGTGTAGTTAAAATGAGAACCTGTAATCACGGACAACCATAAATGAAAACAACAGAGTACTTTGATTGTGTATGAGGAAACAACAAGTAGACCAACAGATTTCCGTAAATTATCCCTTGTAGATTTTGAGGTGTACGTCTTTGGAATATTCGGAGCGACAGCAGAAATTCTCGTAACGCTCGACCTGTCAAAAACAATAGTCTCGCATATTTAATTCTATGTTTCGGTGAAATGTTATGAAGCTAATACTATTTGACTTGTTATGAAATGTGAAGATGATTATTAAACTGTCAATGGATGTTGAAATGAATGTATATGCTGCAATAGAGTGAGATGATTTGCTACAGACATGAACAAATATAGATGATGAAGTCAGAGGTAAACGTGGTAAACTTGCAACAATGTCTGTCAGTGAAGAGCTTCAGTGTTCTTGTCTACCACATACTTGTCGAACGTGAAATATGCATCAATGACAATAGTAATAATATTTGCCATATAGGAAAGAGGAGTGCCTTGGTGATAAACATCTTTCTGCCGACTTTCTAATAAGACCCTCTTCCTAGTTTTACCTATTCTCTAATTATTTTTATCCTGTCTGTCTCAATTTCTCGGCGCAGTATGTCTTTCGATCTTATTCATATTATTCGGCATTTAGGTTTGTCCTGAGGTAATACTGATGGTATCTGGCCAGCGGACCTGAATTATTCCGCGCCGGCAACTAATGATGAACACCTTTATTTTGTATTCGAGGGTTTTCAGGTTTCCATTTCATACAGTAGAACTCTGCTGATATATTTTTTAGAGTTGATCGATGATTGTTTATAGCAGCAGATTTTGTTCAGCTCTAGGTATCCCTTACTAGATTTTCTGATATGCACCTTTACATATTCATCAGATTCACCCTCATTCAAGTTTCCTATTGTATCAAGAGCTTCGCCAAACATTCAAGTATTGATAATGAAAACTTCAACTGACACCAAGCCTTGATTGGTGAGAGTCTGCGAAGTCTTCTACGTGCGCTATTTTGCAGCCTGATCCAACTATATAATAATGGTGAAAAAACAGAAATTATGAATTCACTTTATGTTGTTCTAGTTGATTCCTTCCTTTTGTTCATAAAAATATTCTTCAAGAAAAAATTAGCATAACATTCAGAAATCACTTCGTACGATTGCCTTATTGACTAAAAATAACTTTACTTGATTTAACTCACCTAGTCATTGTTGTCATAACTCGTCTTCTCACAAAATCTCATTTATATAACAATGACCTATGTACTACAATTTGAGCAGAGTAAAATGATAGATAAAACATTATGTGCAAAACATTTCAGTCGTGCTGTGTGTTAGATACTTTTGAATAGACAATAATCATGTGCATTTATTAGACAAAATAATTCACATCTGACAATAAATAATAGCCTGTGAAATATTCACGAATTTCGAGACTGATTTCAGCATCAAAATGTTAAGCAACAGATCAAAGTTTATATATATGTTCGTGCAAAAATCTACTCTAGTCAATAATCACTTAAATAACTATAGTAGCCATACCACTGCTAGACTTTGTTCTTTAACCAAAAATTTTTGTAGCTTAAGATCCTGAGTTACTATGTAAACCAGGTTTTTTTACTCTGTATGAATTGACCATGTCTTGTTATCTTACTTTGCGCCACTGGGTTTGTCCTCAATATGCAGTATGTCACTCAACAAATGAGGAAAAACGAATCTTCAATGTGAAATGAGTAGGACTTAACATTTCGAAATATGTCATCTCGATACTGAATCTACATTTCAAAATCTTGTTCGTTCAATCGATAGTTTACTTCTCAAATAGCGTCGTATTGTACCGTAAGACTTTATTTGCTTCTTAATATAGAAAAATGCACAAATGTAAGTAAGACAGTCAGTATAATACGGCGTGGAACTTGGTATCTAAGTACATCCTTTTTCAAGCTCTCAAGAAACATGAGAACACAGAGAGTTACACATCTCATTCGAATACCGTAGTATCTGAGATAGTAAAAGTACTTACTTTCATGTAAGAGATAAACGTTTAAAGATATAATTTAAAATGCATTATTTAGAACAGAATATAATAACGAACAGTGGTGATCATGATTTTAGAAGATAACAATTCGAGAAAAAAAGAATAGTATACGCCACAACGCGAATGCGAGCTCTTTTTGAGTCATGTCTTTCACGATCTTTAACCACCACGGACTATTTTGTTGCCAACCTCAACCATCATGGTTTAACTAACCAATGTGCTTCGCACCACATGTCAACGATATTATTGATTTGAGAAAGTTTCAAAAAATTGAATGACATCCTTCAAAAATAGAAAGTTGTTAAACTGTTCTTATCGCTGATTTTGAATCAACATGAACGAAATAAACGTTTTGGCTTTCGAAAGGCCGTAAAAGTATCTTCTTATTTATCAATCCGTCATACGTGATTCAAACAACTGTAATGAAGGCTTATGATAAGCTAAGACATTCGTGAGAAATTTGAAACAAAGCTGCTTCTTTTCAACATGTAAAAAATAAGCATATCTTGTTGTATATTATATAGCCGACTAATAAGCTAATCAGTAGTCATTGATTTCATCAGGTATTGATGTGTGTGTGTGTGGTAATGAAAATCAATGTGATTATGCATCGAGTGTATGCACACAAAAGACTCAACTGACTACCGAATGTGAAATTTATACTCAAATATTTATTTCTACAGCAGACAAAAATGATACTGATTGATTTTAATTTTGTAGCACAACAGTGTATTTCGACAACTTTAAAAGTTCAATTTATTCATGAACCGAGTGTAGAATCCATCCTCAACGCTTTGTTTATGACAATCCCTACAATGTAACATCTCATTTTTGATTCCTTCTTTTTACATTTGGTTAATCTGACGGATTCCATTTTTTGAAAAGATAAAAATTTGTGTTTTGTTATAATTTCTATTTCTTCTTTCTTTACTGATTTGAAAAGTTTATTTATGAACTGCATTATGTTGTTCAATCTGATACGGTTTTATTGCAACAGCCATATTGTGAACTTAAGAACTTTTCCAGAAACGAAAACGCTGTGATATATAGCAATCAGATATTATCTGTCAATCGCATCTGATCCGTCCTGGAAGGTTCGAATTAAATCTTATTGTTTTAGTTTTTACATAAGTGAACTAGCATTGATGAAAAAACGTTTTAGTATTGTTTGAGATATATTTTACGTTTATATTTATGATGAATATTAGAATCGTTATTTATCTAGATCACGTATTTCGGATTTCAATCATTCATCAGGTTCAACAACCTGGACAGCTATTCCACAGTCCAAACATCAGTTTGGATATTACATCAAGTATCTAGTTTACCATGATCTCATCTATGTGAGCATAAATCGAACATAAGTGCTTTAGTATTATTGCAGTACTACGTTCAAAATAATTTGATGGAAAAAAACTACGGTCTGTGAAAGTGAAAATAAATAGGATTCATTGCATGACGTAGATACTAATTACAAATCAGTATCTGTGGAAAACAGGTCGGCTTTAGGGGCACGCTCTTAGAGAACAGTCATTTTAGATTTCCGATAACATGAGAACTGAATCGAGACATGAAGCTAGTGAATCATGAAGTAGCGCAACATTCAAAACAGCGGTTTTGAAGAATAACTGCGCAAATAAAGGTGTTTCAGATAGATTTTCGGTCATGAAGATGAAATGATCTCATTTTGCAATGGAAAATTTGTTTTAGATTAGAGGTGCAAACAAAAATCAACTTTGTATTTTAGTGAGTTTTAGGACCAGACTTCATTTGAACAACTGAGTATTTTGCTGGTTAATGATGATACCACGAGTGGAATTAAAGGTTCCGGTAACTCATTCATTTTTCATCTTGAAGTAAAAGTTTGTGGAATAGTTGGAATAACTCACGAATCTAATGACTGTTGTGAGTTAACTGTCATGCACATTTGTTCCAGAGAAAAATTATGCAGGCCACATAATTTCCCATTTTTTTGGAAATGTGAAAATGATTACTGTACTTTCCATGATCTGTTTGACGCATGATGTGTCTTATTGAAGTAATCCTCCCTTCCTCTTGTGTATGCTGAGTCCTACTACTGCTCACGAGACTGCTGCAGTGGTTTACCCTCTTCAATTCGATATTACGTGTGATATAGAACAGTCTGAACTCTTACAATGTCGAAAGCGTACAGCTCCATTTGAACCGTCCACTGCATTTCTTTGCTGAGATGTTGACGTTTTGAAAACCCAGTCGACTGAAAAGAGAATAAAAACCGTTGACATAAAACAAACTCGAGTATATCAGTAGTTTTATTTGCACAATTTCGCAGTTTCACTCGTTGTTTTATTCAAAATGACAGAAAACACAGTAACAAACGACTCGTAACTGTCGTTATCTTTCTTTGTTTTGTGGATAGAAGCTTTCGAACAACTGTTGAATTATATCATACATAATACCGCTCTGTTTATAATGTAATCGATTCGTTATTTGAATGATAATTGCAGTGTGTATATTCTGTTACATAAAGAGATATTTGGACGCTCCAATATTCGGCCGAGAAACTGATTTTCCTAATTGCTGATATTTTACAGTGAAACCATCCTCAGACGATTGAATAAATTGAAAAACGCTATCAAAGGGACAGTAAACATACAATAAACGTGCACTTTAACCTTGAAAGATCCAATAGAAGCATCTTGGTGATAGTCACTATCGTTGTTTACTGCTCTAAGTTTCTCAAGTTGTATATGATTTCAAACAACTTTTTATGCCATTAGAACGATGATTTTTACATCTGTCATTTAATAACAGGATGCCCACTAGACAAAAACATCAGTAGATTCCGACTGTGCTCCACATAGTTGTTATATATGCAAAAAGTGTACAGCTTCTACAATTTTCAAAAACTTAACGGTGACGATAAACATTTCATTGTTTATCGAACTGACTATACCTGTATGAGCTTGCATATATACAAAAATATTTTCAGCGTAGTCATGAATGAGTATTTGTACAGATTGTTCGTTAAGCAATCCTTTATTCTCAATCATATCTACCCACTCATGAAGAAAGTTTCATTTGTTAACGTGTACTAAAATAGTCAACAGATCCTGACTCTCGTGAATCATGACAAAGAAAGTGACGTGGTAGTAA